ATCCGCTCCGCTCCCACATTCACCCGCACTAAGAAGCACTCCAAAAGGGAGAGGGTGAGCAGATTAGATATTTATCTTGGAGCAGCATGTTCCACCAGTCTGGAAGGACGCGATGGACACGTCCCACGGGTGGGCAGGCAGGGAGGAGTGGGTGGGGAGACACTCCAGGTAGATCGTACCCACAGGAGCCAGTGCAGAGAAGCTGGGTCTAGGTGACACTGAAGCAACCGAAGTGTGGATGTCAGTCCCCTTCACAGGGCCACAGATAACTCCATGCACTGGGCACAGCGCTTGCCGAACAGAACCGGTTCCACGGCAGGCAAGAGTCACCCCAGAAACTGCTCAAGATTGGGAAAGCTCTACCAGTAGACCTAAAAGGAATAGGCAGAACATGAAAACCAGTGTAATGTCAAAGAATCTGAACTACTGTTGTTTCTTCAGGTGATACTTTAAAACATAGTCAGCTATGTGTACATGATAAATAATGCATTTTGTAATTTACATTTTTCTAATTGAAAAAATTTCTGCAATAGCCCCAAGTAAATCGCATGCATGATTTAACAGATGAATAAAATTTTAACTACGAGGAAAAAAACCCTCTGAAATTGTGCTGTTTCCTAACAAAATAGAACTAGAGTGGCTTTAATCCCTGTTTCTGCACTTTTATAAGATTATGAACTGGAAGAGTTTAGGCGGTGACCGAAATGCATTGAGAGCACTAGATAACTGGGTTCACCTGAATGGTTTGGCACTTTAAACTCTGAAGGCATCTTTACATCCATGCTCTCATTTGTTCCTCACGCAACCTCAGAAGGCAGGAGTGGGTTTTGTTTGTCCCACTTGGCAGGGAGCTTCATCATTAGCCTGTGGTAACGTCCACTGGAGTGGCAGACAGGCCAGAGCTCCCGGGGGAGCATTTATTGTTTTTACTGCCTGAGACCCTCCCCCATTTCTGGGGACACCAAGTCTCTTCTCAGGGAACACTATTTCTCTCCCACTCCAACAACCTCATTCAAGTGGGGACAGCCAGTGACACTCCCATCGGGGGCCCCTGGCCAGGCCTGAGCCAGCTAGAGGCTTTTGCTGGGACTTTACAGCTAGTGTCAGGCTTGGGGCAAGGAGGTGGGCAACTTTCATCAGGGGTTTTCTTTTTGTAGCAAAATTGTGAGATGTGTTGCTGGTGGCTGTGTGTCCAGCCACATGTGGGGTGTTTGACTGAGAAACTAAAAACAATACGCAGTGAGAAGAGAGAAAGTGTTGTTAGCGTTCAAAGTTCTGGTTCCGGGGGTATTTGAGGCTCAGCTGCTTCTTTGCCATGGTTACTGGAGACTTTTCAATAAACACTATTTCCAGTTGAGTTTATGTTCCTTAAAAAAACCAAAAGAGTCATAACTAGTTATCTGTCCTCCACGTTTACACTTCTATCCCCACGAATCCATTAAAATCCACTCTTGCATATGAGAAAATAAGGCTCGGCAAAGTTGAATGACTTGCCCCAAATTTTATATTGAGTTGTTGGTGTAATTATGCCACTTGCCAGTACATGTAATTAATAAAGTTTTACATATACTACCTCCTTTGATTGCTATGAGAGGCCCTTAAAACGGGTTGGACACGCACTGTTAGCCCTAATTTTAGATGAGAAAACTTAGGTTCAGAGACAGCGGGAGACTTCCCTACTGTCACACAATGAACAAATGATGGGGCAGGAGTTGGACCCACGTCTTCTGATAACAGGCAAAGCTTCTTCCAACCACATCTCTTAGGAAATCTGCACACACATACGAACACACACAGACATACTTGGACATACACGCAAAGATTCGGGTCAATGAAAAACGAAGTCGAATGTAGCAAAATAATTGTTCTTAGTATTATTTTTAAAAATGTGTTAAGCTAGTGCTGCCCATAGTATGTGTACTTTTATTTCTTGACAAAACAGTGGTTTGGGAACCACCTAACTCTTCTGTCGATCAAACTGGGGTAAAATATTTTCCATTATCTTGAGACTTTATGGAATATAAATAAGCTTGTACTTTGTCTCTCTTGGTTTAGATACCTAATGAAATGTGAAAAAGCAAGATGACACATAAAAGAAAAGAGAACTAACTCAGCAATTAACTTTGGAAAAGCTCCAAAATTAGATCGTGTAATTAGTCCACAGTTTAGCAGACTTTGGTGGAATTAGGTCTACGCAAATTCCATTCACATAATTTAGGAAGACTGAATGACTGTATAGATGACTCTCGCTTAAAGTGGAGCCTGACGGAACTCTTACTTCTCATTGTATCTCTTACATCGGCTGGTTTTAACAATCAAGGAAACCCTGGAATTGGCACTAAATTGTTCACTGAAAAAATCGATGGCGGGCACTGAAGTGGTGGAAAGATGGCTGCAACGAAGTGACATTACAGCCACTCTTTAAAAAGGACACAGACTTTCCATGAAGGCGAGTAGCCAAGGTTGGCAGGCTCCAAGTGTGATCGGCTCTAGTTTTCACGTCTTTGTGCAATGCTGTACAGGGGTGAAATGAGTAAAAGCCTCGGCTGGATCACGGGTTTTTAAGTTGTATTTTTATTGTTGTTTCAGGAAATCCAACAAACAAAACAGTCAAAGGTGAAACTGCTGTCCTTGTAGGGGTCGGGGAGGAAACAGAGAGGCCCAGGGCTCTTAGACAGCCGCTGGCCAAGACAAACTCTATGAGGCTGCCCCACTCCAAGCACGTATGCCTGAACATCGGCTGCACTTGGCCATAGGCTTACATATTGACTACAGGAGTACGATCAGAACGTAAAACATCACTCAAGGGGAATTTTTCCACAGATTATGGAAATTTAGATTGAAGATTCAACTATGTAGATAACTCGACTAACCAGTATAAATCAACCATGCACTTGAATAAGTCAGCTCATCAAATATTACAAATAAAATGCTTGCTTCGTCCTCCCCATTCTCTCCCCTCCCCACTGAATTGACTGGTTGTTTGTCTATATGGACAAAATAAGGTGATCATTTCATCGTGCCAATACGTCTTGGGCAGATTTCCCCGTTTACAGACTGGCTATTTTCAGACGAGTCAGTACACGTGCTCACTGTCAGAGAACGGGGAAGACAGGTCAGGGAAGTTTGGCACTTGGCATTGAGTCAGAAAACTTCTCAATTCAATTTGGATGTAGGCTCAGCCTGGAAATGTGTGTAGGGCAATGACAGTGTCAGGTTGGAAAAACATCCCCATGTAACGTAACAGCAGCCACTCCCAGTGCCACCACAGAAACAGCTGGCAGCTGGCCAGCCCGTTCACACCACCTCTGAGAACAAAGTGGAAACATTCTGAAATAGGCAACGTTTTCAAACTTTGCAAAGAGTTGCATGAAGGTTTCAAGGATCAAATATTGGAAGATGTTTAAGAAACACAAATCAAAACATGAGATAAGCTCTTCTGAGAAATGAGACTGAGTGCAAAACTGTCGTTTTCAATATTTCAGTTCTAAGTTAACATGTTATATAGATATTTTTATTTATTCCTGGCTGGTTTGAGTTCTGCTTTGAGGAAAGATGGTGTCCTGAAATGCTGCTCTCTTTGCATAAATCTCCATGGTAACGAAGTTACACTAGGAAAAGCAGAGGTAGATGAAAGAGAAGGTCTCCGCGGTTCTAAAAGTGGAAATGCTAAAGGTTGTCTATATATTTTGTGTGTATTTAGTTGTACTTTAAAAAGCAAATTAGAAATTATAAACTGTTTTCAAAATGTATATATTTCAATTAATTCAAACTTTCGACTTTGTCTACATTTCTCAAACCATGGCCGTTTCCCTGACATTTGGCATGGTTTGTTTTGCTCTCAGGAGAGGCACTGCCCTAAGAGCATTTGCCCATAGGTTTTCCCTACGTCCTCGGGCCTGAGCATTTCTGTGACCGGACTAGTTTGCATGAAGTTCCTGGAAGGGACTCTCAATCTATAGACACCGAAGGAGTTCACTGACCATGAACAAACTTTTTTCCTTCACAAATTTTATTGCTGATTTCATATTACATAACTTTTATTACAGAAACTACAGCTCCACAAAAACAATAAAATAAGCATTTTCTTCTAAATCTTCCACATTAGAAATAATAATATTGCTATATCTTTGCCCATCTATGATTATTTATGCAAAATAAGTTCCCAGAAGTAAAATTGTAGCCCAAAGACACACAAACTTCTAAATCTTTTGATATATGTTATCAAATTGCCTCACAGAAATCTTCTATCAATTTATTAGTGTCTGAGAATGTCTGTTCCCTCGCTTTAGGAGTGGATTATATCATTAAGACATGTTTTGAAATTTTGTAGGTAAAAAATACTTTTCATTGTCGGGGACAAACTTCTACACAGTACAAAGTTAGTCCTCACCTTTCTAAACCCTGCTAATGTACCCTTTATGTGCTAGTCTCTCCGCCACCACAAAAATGTACCTCAGGTTCCCAAGGAACCATGTTCTAGCACATTCTAGTACATTCTAGCATGTTCCTCTATGGGACACTGTTGCAAGGGCCTGAACTTTTCCTCCCTTAGTGTATTCTGTGTTTCAAAACACAGATTTTTTTTTCCTCTGCTAACATGAATCCACTACAATAATTTCAGTCAAAACTTAATAACTGATGGCACCCTCCCTGAACATACATATGTTTTTTGAAGACGTATAACTAGTAGGAAGTTTAAGAAGTAAAGTCTACCGGTGAGGAATGTATTTTCAGTAAAGAGAAATCTTTCTTGAAGACCCTCCACTTTCTCCATGCAGGTCATTGCCTTCTAGTGTGGTGTATATATTCAGCTGGCCCTGCTGTTGGCTGTCGCGTGTCCAAGTGAAAGATGCTGGTCTCAGCGGAGACCTGGTGATGAGTGACGGGTGGCTCCCGTACATGAGGCCCACTCACAGTGATATGATGCTACGCACAGAGCATCCAGCAGCTTGAAGTGTGGAACACAAGCTGGGCTCGAGCAATGCACATACCATCAATAGCGGTAAGAGTTTTGTTTATGTGTGTTCATTTAATACACATACATTGATGACAAAATTTGTGTGTTTAATTTTTTTTATCAAAGCCATACAACATTCATTTAAAAACACTTACTGAATACTCACACTGATTTCCCAAGTTGTATACAAAATATTCTTCTGAAATACCTTCCAAGCAACAATTTTTTTCCAGGGGGAATTTGGAACAATTTTGTGGATGTTTCACTAAATTTTTCTTTAAAACCTAGCTATAGTTTCTTTAAACTTTGATCTAGCCAAGTGCCTATGCATTCAAGCAAGCAAGTAATAAATGTCTATGAAATAATGCTGAGCTAATACAATTCTCTATCAGTGTATCAGATGAAAGACTGTCAAAAATTTGTGTGAACGTTTTTGTCTTGGTCTTTAACTGATGAAACAGATTTAAAGACACTCTGTAAGCTAAGAATATTTAATGCTTAGATGATAACGATTAGTTACATAAATAGACACTATAGTCAGTTATTATCTGGACTTGAAATAACTAAGAATCAAGCAACCGGATTTTTTGGAGGGTGGGGTAGAAAGAGTATATTCTGTATTTTAATCTAATGTGAAAAAAACGAATAAATATTAACAATCAACAGCTAATTTTCAGTTTGTCACAAAAATGTGTAGGGAAGGCTTCTGCATGTTTAAAGAGCAGTTGGAGATTCCTGCTTCCTGCCTGCAGCTAGAACAGCGGTTTGGGCTGTGTGGGGTCTGAGGCAGGATTTCGCAACCTTTTTTTTGTACCCTCTGAAGATGGATGATGAGAACCAGCCTGGTATTCCTTGAATCCAGCAAGAATCTGGAAAAACAACAAACACAACTTAAATCTCCTTGTATATTAGGACCTACAAAAGAAAATAAGTTATCAGTGGAGGGGTAATTCGTTTTTATTTAGGTACCCTTTTCAACTTACCATCCTGTGGCACCAACACTACAGGTCTTTGCAGAGCCACAGTGCCTGCCCTTGGTGAGCGGGGCCTTCACTGCCTCGTTCACTGGGAACAAAACGGAAGGAGAGGCTGGGAAGATGATTAAAGGTTAGCAAGGTGACTGTTTCTGGCGGAGTGATATTAAGGCCATTAATATGTCTGCATTTTAGTTTCAGTGCGCTAATATATTATTCTATCTGTTAAAACATCACAAAGATTACCTATAATTAAAGATGATTTACAGTCTAAGCCATAACTAGATATAATTTCATGCAAACACATTTAGGGTGAATTCACTTTAGAGTGGAATTTGGCTAGCCTAATGCAAACAGTATCTACAAGGCACTGAAAAGACAGGGGGGAAAGCCATGATGTTTGGGCAATACAATCAAAACCTAACAATCGTTTTGTGGATTCATACCTAAATAATCTGTATTGAAGGAACATGTAGAAAGCACTGCTTACAGGGAAACGTCGGTGAGTTTTTTGTTTTCTGATAAATGTTTTATTACCAATATTGAAACACTGTCCCTCATTTTCGTGTCGCTGGGAAGAGGAGCCAGGCCAACGAGTTCTCATTTTTCAGTCTCTACGTTTTAGTTCACATTTGTACCGACTTGAACAACAGTTACATTTGCAACTCCAGAAAGCAAAGATGAAACTTTGTTCTTGCTTTTGTCTTGAGCTGTACAATTTATTTCTCTCCTGGCAACAGATTTTAAATCTCTCTCCCTCCCCCTCTCTCTTTTCTTCCTTTTCATGGGAACTGTTTGGTGAGCGCCGACAAAGCTCTGTGTGTGTGTTTTTTCCCTTTGCCTGGTTTCTGTGTCGGTGTGTGCAGGCATGCATTCATTAACGTAATTCCTCCACATCCAACAAGGGCGCATCGTAAACCCGGGAGAAAAAAAGCCTCATAAATATTTAGATGTTCCTTCTACCTTCCAAACTAGAGTGAAAAAGCGTCTTTAGTGAGGAGTTGCTCTGGGTTAATCTGCATGTGAATCAAGCAGGGGGACAAAAGGATGAAAAGGTGATGGAAACTCGAATACAAACCCTATGGTCTCCAGGGGGTCATTCATCTTGTTCTTGTCAATACCGCGGTCTGGCGCTTCTCTGCGCATGAGCAAACGGAGCAGCTCTCCAAAGACAGCTGGCAAAGGATGGTGTATGCTTTGTTCTATCTTGTAAGTTTTTTAAGGAACGAAATGGCTTTACACTCTATATTTGACTGACTTCTTCATTCCTTGTAGTTACTGCTCTCCATATGAGTGATGAATCTATATTTAGTGACATATACAAATACACAAGACAGGAAGTATGAACAATACTTTTTTTATTGTGGCAAACAATGCATAAAACTGACCACTGCAACCATTTTCAAGGGTACAATTCAGTGGCATTAAGTACATTCTCCAGGTTGTGTAATCACCACCACTGTCTCTCTAGAACTTCTTGGTCCAAAACAGAAGCTCTGTACACATGAAACAATAACTCCACACTCTTCCTTCCGCAAACAACATAGAGCGAGATTTTTAAAAATCCCATTCTTAAATATTTGGAAGGTTTGGGGGGTGCGGAGCCAGAGAGAATAACAGAGGGTAAAGATTAAAAAGAAAAAAAATGAGACAAAGCTGGAATAGCCTTTTCTCCTACGTGTGGTTACACTGAGCTAATGAACTCAAAGCCTGAAAATGAATATGGGGACAGAACGCTGGCCTGTCAAATGGCCAGCCTGGTTTCACCTGAATGAAAGACACTGATAGTGCACAGTTTAGCAGTATTTCAAAACTATCTTTTTTTAATAACAAATTGGTTTGAGTAAGAATTTCAAAATAACATTCAAATATACAAGTCTTATAACGCCTGACATTATTTGAGACAAAACAAGTGGATTATATACTTTCTAGAACATTTCCACCAAATATTGCTTGACCAAAAGACTGAAGTGAAGGCTGGGAGGATAACTTGTATAACTGTAAAAGTTAATTTATATTGTTATTTCCAACTTTGCAAATGTCTGGGGTTGCAACTATGTTGCTTTAAATGAAAACATATCAAAGTATTACTGATCAAGTCCCATTATAAGGCAACATAATAGGGAGGAAATTTGCAATTCCAAATTCATCATCATTTAAGAAATCTTTAGTAATAAAAATTCAGTGTGTTGAGGCCTGGAAAATGGTCCCCTTACCCCTTTAATTCTGGCTGGTAGAAGAATTCAAACAACAAACAGCAGATTAACATGAGAAAAATCAAAATTTTAATACGTGTGCACGCACAGGGAATTCATATAAGAATGAAAATTCCAAAGATAGTGAGGCAACATTGGGACAAAAGAGAAAGAGGGTGGGATGGGGTCTTAGATTTCCAAAGTGAGAATGGGCAATTTATAGGTACCTGAGGAAGAGCAGAACACACCTGGCAGGCAAATTCTTGTTAGGCAACCCAGAAGCAGTGGAATGAGGGGATGAGGGGGGAGGGGAAGAGGGGTACCTAGCAATCATGCTTGGAGTCTTCCTGACTGATGCTAGGGTGGAAATGCTTAAGGTGAGCATGCCACGGTTCCCTTCCTAAAGCAGGTTTTTCTATCTGAATTTCCTTAGAGAAAAGGGGAAGTAAAAATACCCTTCCTGAGTTTGTTGGACTTTAATTGACTGCAGTTCAAAATAATCTACACACTAGGGTGGCACATTCTGGGGACACTCACCCTGACCGACACCCACAAGTGCAATTAAAAAAGTGTGGGCGGTCCTACTGCGTTTGTGTTGATGGGATCTTTTTGTAGCACATGCAGCCGGCTCCCTCCCTCTAAAGTGAGTATTATCAGTTGAAACCACATGTGAGTGACTGATACTCTTCTTCCCTCAGTGGAAGCTGTGCCTGTTACTGCCGCTGATTATTTAAGGAATTTTAATATTTTATAGAGTGTGAAGATAGGATTATCAGGACAGCTTTCGGCACAGGTGCTGGGGGAAGGGAGAGAGTATGTAGAGCCAGAGGCCTAAGGGAACTATTGGGAAGGGGCAAAGCTGGTAAGTTGGGAACTTGCCGTTCCAAATAAAGGGAAAACTTGCTCTAATTAGCATAACCCGATAGGAGGTTCACTGACCAAGGTAACTGGGAAATATGAACCAGACACTAACAAATGCAGGAGCTCAGATGATGTCAGAGATGCACTTCCATGTTGGAGTTGCTCTCCTCATGTTGGCTTCTCTCTTCGGCAAGCACTCGCCATGTGGTAACTAACACCATGGCCACTAGGTCCCTAAAATATCTTCATTGTCTAAAACCAGCAATCCTCTCAAAAAAAAAAAGAGAGCTCACCGTCCTGCTGGAGTTCCGGTGGGAAACTCCACCGGTTGCAATGATTGATTAGTAGGCCTAGTCAGGTGGCATCGGGAGGGCCTGGCCTGCAGTCTGTGCGCACTGCCTGCAGATGGTGGTGGAGGTGTCACGCCACCCCCAGGTCACTCTAGATTTCCCATAAAACAAGAGAGGTTTTATGGGAAGGCGGAGGAAGGGAGATGTGCTAGATAGACAACTACAGCTCTGACAGTTCCCTCCAGAATTGATCCTTCATGAGCTCATGCATATGAGCTGTATCAGTAAGGCTGGCTGGTGTGCTAGCCAAATGCATATGAGTTCAAATACAATGCAAGCGTGTTTCTTAGTGAAGGAGCAGAACCACGCATGGGAAGAGCCCTGCAGAACGGCCTTCCCCAGGCAGTCATTTTAGGACCTCGGCTCGTCTCTATTCCTGCTGGCCCCAATGGGGCAGGTGATGGTAGAGGAAGCTGTGAGGCTTTTGGGAGCTAGGCCTGGAAGGGCACACATCACTTCAGCGCATATCCCGGACGACTAGACCGCAGTCATATGGCCACACCCAGCGTCAAGAGAGGTAGGAAATGGAGATCAGCTGTGTGCCCAGGAAGAAGAAGAAATACATTTTGGTGAATCACTGTCAAGCTTTGCCTCATCAGTCACCACTAGTCTGCAAATGGATCGAAAAGTAAAGCACTTGTAGTGGCGTAATGATAACTGTTACCAAGTTCTTACTATGTGCCAGTGGTTGTTCCAAGGGCTTTGCATATATCCGCTCACATAGTCCCCTCATCAACCTGTGAGGTGGGACAAATGTCCTTGTTGGAAGATGAAGAAACAGAGGCACAGCAAGGTTACTTAACTTGCCCAAAGTTGCAAAACTAGAAATTCTTGGAGCCAGGCTTTCATACAAGACAAGATGACCTCGCAGGGTCCTTGGGCAGACTAAACGCGATGATGCTGTAAAGGCCTGGGTTGGGCGGGGCACACGGGAAACACTTGGTGGAAGTCCTATTACTAATCTGTCCCTCACATTAAGCACAGCATCTCTGAGGAAGCCTCACTCAGAAGCTGAGCTTCAGGCTGAGCGGTGGGTGTCCACAGGGCAGCCTCCAGAAGGCTCTTTGTGCTGAGTCCAAAGGGCCACGGGGGAGCCTAGACTCATTCGTTAAGCTAGAGCAATGGCTGACCTGGCCAAATTCACGCAAGGACAGGGGCAGCCAGCACCACCATCTGGACAGGTTACCTTCCCAAGTAGGAACTTGCTTCCACCAAGATCTGCACATCCTTTCCTGCTCTTGTCCTCAGGCAGAGCGAGTTGCTCCTTCCTCAACATTCCTGAAGGGCTTACAGCACAATTCCATTCAAAGACCTTCCATTGCTTTGTCGTTTTCCACTTACCCCAGCGCCTAGCAGGCCTCGCATGTGCATGACATAGAGTAGGCCATCTGAAAGTGGTAAGCGGATGTGAACAACAATTGCTCCCATCTACTGAGCAATCACATTGTCCCGGGCATCTGCTAAGAGCTTTGTAATCACTGCCTCATCTCATCCGCACAGTGACACTATAGTGTGGGTGTGATTAGTGTCCCCATTTTGCAGCTGAGAACACTGAGGGCTGCTGAGGTCAAGCTTGCCGACATCACAGCAGAGCCCGAGCTTTCATTGCTGTATGACCTGGCTGGGCTGGCTTAACTCCCATGATGGAGACCCACATCCTGCTCTGTTCCAGAGGTGGGGAGACGTCCCGGATTTGCACAGAAGCAGCCGTAAGATCAGTGAGGAATGGCCTGGAAGGCCAGTGTCCTGTGTGTCCTGTGTGGGAGGATCCCCAAGCCCCCAACCAGGAAGTGCTCCTTGAGGGACCATGGTCAGAACAAGTAGTCTGAAGCCCGAGAGGGAAGGCTTGGAGGGGAAGGAGAAGAGATTGCTTGTCAAAGGGTCAGAGGTTGGGTCTGGACCCCACCCTCCCACCCCCAGAAGCTAAGGCAGCGTGCCCCAGTGAGAGAAATTGCACAGGGGCTTCCAACTATGGAGAATATTAGTAAAAATGTTGGGGAAATCGTCTAAATGGTTTACTGGTCTCCATTGAAATGTAAATGCGGCCAGGCTCTGGAAACCCCTGCTAGATTTTTCTTAGGTTCTTTAGCAACCTTGTAATTTTCCCAATGTTTGTAATATTTAAAACTCTGCCTGTCTATAACTAAAACTCCTTTGTCCTTTTCTAATTTGTGTTTGTTGTGGAGGCGGCAGGGGTGAGAGGTAGAGGAAGCTGTCTGCCCCGCAGTGGGCCCTCGGAGGAGGAGCGCGGGGTCGAGAAGCCGTGGGAGGGGCTGGAAAGGAGAAGTGGGCGGCTCCACGGCCTGGGCTGGCGACGGGGAGGAGAGCCCGTGGGGCTGAGGCGCTGGGAAGGCGCGCTGGCCCCGGACGTGGGGGATGGGAGGGCTGGCACAGTTCTTGAGATACTTCTAGACCTTAAGTCTCAGACCCCAGAAGGATCTGTGCCACACAGGATTTTATGTCAGCGTTAGAGGGGAGCCAGTGCACGCATTTGCCTCGTTATTACAAGCGCAGTTTAAATTAAATTAGGAGGGAAAGACTACAAGCCCTGCAAATCCCCTTTGTAAGAGTCTGGGGATCCCAGGAGCTTGGCTGCTGGAATCACTCCAGGTTTACCACTGCAACGGGTGCATACTGGCTCCTGAACTATTTGGTTGAAACTGCTGGGCCATGGAAGCTTCTGGTTGCTGTGAGGATGAGGCCCAGATAGAACAAGCAGTGAGGTTTAATTAGCATGAAGATTTTTCTCCCTAGATCCGAGGCTGCCTTTTGACTCTAAAAGAGGGAAAATACAGAGTGAATGACAGCATTTTCTAGTTTGGTGAAGTTGACCACGAACTTAATTCAATTCTAATAAAGAAATAAATGACAGGTCCTCAGACTCTAATGCTTTCTCATATTTTCCTATGGTTAACATTTTACAGAAACCAGGGTTTCGGCTTCAACAATGAATAATTTGCAATTTGAAACAGACCACAGAATCTTAAAGTCCGCTCGAGCCACCTGGAACCAACTTGAACTTTAGGATGTATAGGAGGACTAAAGCCACATAACACTGAGGGGTTGAGAGACAGATGAGCTAAAAATTGAGCTAGCAGGCAAGAAGTGGGACTTTTGTGTTTAGGACTTGAAAAATAAAACTGCTATTAGGCTCACTTCCTAGCAAATTTGCCTTTTGGGAATGGTTTCAGTGTGTTCTTCTTCCCACAATTCTGATTTACTTCCTTGATGGAGTGACGTCCTTAATGAATGCTGTACAAAGTTGAATACAGTGTCAGTGAAGGATTATTAAAATGATTAATCAAGTATTTTTTTTAAAGCTATATTAAAATGCTAGCAAAGTTTCCCATCCAGGAAGTGCAGTGATAGACATTAAGAACAAGGTTATGTGATGTACACATCGTGTTGATATGCATACATCACGTTATAAAGAAAAGATAATATCACATCACACCAGCAAGTTTAAAGACTGAAGTTCTTCGTGGCGACTCTGAGACTGCAGAGAGGCTGTTGGGCTGGTAGGCAGTGACCCTTGACCAAGATGACAGAGAAAATGGGAGAGATGTGAGCCATTGAACTTGAGACTGGATGGGGGAGGGGAAATGCCCCGAGGCAGGGCCGAGCCTTGAGCTCAGTTTTGTGTCATTCACATGACAGACAGCTCAATGATTTGATCAAGATTTTGCTTTGGGAAAATCTGGTGTAAAATAAGTGATTTTTTTCCCCCCTGTGGTCTATAACATTATCCTCACTTAGTGCATAATTGTTGTATACAACAATAAGCCACTTTTGTAAAACCAGATATTGAGAAGAAAATTCTTATCCAGCCCTTATAACATCAGGGGTTCCGTTATAGTTTAGACTGTATCATGCTCCCAGGGATCTAGTGATAAGACAAGGCCCTCTTTCTAACAAGAAAACATATGATGTGAATATAAATTTTGTTCAACATTAGTATTATAATGGGGTATATGATTCACGGTGAAGCCAGACTAGTAATTATAAAACTGTTTATTAGAAAGATTTTTTTTTCCTTTCAGCTACCTTGTGCGTTTCAGCCCTCATTTTGAAATTATGCTGTGAAAACCACTTTGAAACCTTGAAAACCACTGAGAGAAGGTGTTGCTCCCGAGGTAAATGTTTTGAAGGCTATACGTATGGCCTGGGGGCTGGGTGCTGGTGACAGATGCCAGATAATAGAAATCCTGGCTCAGAGATATAGTCTTGCTGAAAATCTAGACCTTCTGGGGGTTACCCTGGAGCGATCACGTTTGCTTCTGGGACGGTCCAGGGAAACTGGAGCGGTCACTGTCTTCCTGTTGCTTCATGCGTGACTGAATGGAACTGACCTGCAGAAGCCACTTGTGAGAGTGTGTGTATCTGTCTCCTCCCAGCCCGCTTTCAGATTCTAAATTCCTCAAACCATGACCTATTTTTCCCATGGTACCTGATTTAAAAAAGGGGTGGGGGGGGGGCTCACTGCTTTGCTTTCCACGTGTCTGTGGAGATACGAAGATAGCGTGGTTTTGCTGAGGGTGGGTTCACTCACCTGTGCTGCCAGCTGCAGCCACCCATGCCAGGCCCTGGAGGACACCTTGGACTTGGCACAATGCTGCCAGCAGTTGCTGGGACCTCAGGTTTTAAACCCTGGGTCAGCCCACAGCTGTCCGTGTTCAAACACAATAATGGGATCGATACAGGTGTCCTGGGAGCTCCTGCAGGTCGAGAGGGCGGGTACCTGCCCACCCTGGGCCTGGACCTTCCAGAAGGTATGAGCTCCCAGGACCCTCCTCCATGCTGACTGTTAGCTCGGTTGTTCACAGGGCAGGAGTTGCGGGGAGGGCAGTCTCTCCCTTTCCACACTTGCCCACTGCCGCAGAGCTGTTCCTACGGTCCCGTCTAGAAGAGCCAGGAGGCCCCGAGCCAGCAGCAGATGTACTGTTGCTGCTGCTGCTGACAACACAGCCAGCCTGGGATCAAGCCTCCTCTTCATCAGGTTTTGTCCGTTTACTTCCTAGTGTCAGCAGTCCTGGGAACGGGAAATGGTTTGTGCAACAGGAAGCGGCAGGAAACTGATGACTAACTACTTTTGGCCTCTGCGGATACATTTTCAACGTAAATAGAGTTAGCGACACACATTCCAAAACATGTGCATTGATCAATATGAGGTATATCCAGGCCTTACTCTTTTTAGTTTTAAAAACAATCCCATTCCTGAAAGCTTACCGTATGCCAGGGACTCTGTAGGCACCTGTGTTCGTGCACTCACATAATCCTGACGTGTCCCTGGGATTCATTAGGACAAGAGAGAGGCATAGGCAGTGACGAGGCCGGGCTGGGGTGCAAACCCAGGACTTGTGGCCACTGCTCTGGGCCCCTGGGCTCAGCTGCCTTCTCCCAGGAGCAGCAAACTCTTCAGGACTTTGTTTCGCTGCTTGGGGTTTAAAGACACTTCAGCTACATCATCTGTGAGGAAAGCTTTTCTGGCTTGGCAGGTGGTTACGTAGTGGGGCTGAGGTATTATTACTTCATATTTTCACAGTGCAGAAGGAAGTTCTTACCAGACACCAGCGGTCTGAGCCTGAACGTGAAAGGCCTCCTTCCCTCACCGGGTTCGCTGCTCAGCCACCCGGACACCGAGAGCCGCCCGCTGCTGTCCCCACTTATATCTGCTCCTTCCGGAGTGGCAAGGCCTCCTTGGGGCTGTTTGATTAAGTGAAAGTGTGCTGTCATGAAATCAGGCACCGGACCAGCTGAAATGTTGAAACCTGGTCAGCTGAGGGAGAGGAGAAAGTCGAGTCTGGCTTTGGGTCCCTAGAGGCCGAAGAACCTGGCACAGAGAAGGCCCGGCAGCCGGACAGGAGCCGGTAGCAGAGGGGGCGTTGAATTGTCTCTGGCATGTCGGCTGCTGGGCTATAGGCCTGTCTTTGAACTCTCTGAGCCCCAGTCCTTTTGCTCTTCCTTCATTTCACAGTTTAACAGTTCAGTGTTTTGATTGCCTCCTCTCCTTCTTTCTGCTCTTTTGATGACTTTATGTGGACAGAGAAATGATCCTAGCACCAGGACAGCCCTGTCCCACCATCCGTCACAGCTCCGGCATGCCGTGTCCCACTCTCACCTAATTCCAGGTTCCTACCGCAAATACAGAAAACCCGTCTTATTTTATTTTTATTATTTTTTTAAAGATTACAGCAGAGGATAGTTTTATTAGAGCAGAAAGTAACAGCTCTCAAAATGAGATGGGGTCCCAACTGGGGTGCCCCTAGAAAACCCATTTTAGAACTTCAAAACAAAAAGTGTTACTCATTTCACCGTGCTGTTTTATCTCCATTTAAAAAAAATGATGCTTACTACCAGTGAATATTGAGAAAAATCCAGTGTAATTAATGCTAGTTAATCAAGTTGATGGCCCTTGAAGATCTATAAAATGTAACTGTAACATTCTTACAGTTGGGCTTGGACAGCATAACTAGGAAATAGTAAATGCCGGCATCATCAGTATTACTTGTAGAGTTCAGCAAAGTAATGTGAATGGCTGTACGGAACTGGGGAGAGAGCAGAAGTGAGGCACTTCTTTGGTGTGAAATATAAGCAGTTTACCATAAGGAGGATGATTATCCACTTTCCAGCTCTGGTAACAACCTGTGTATTCAAACATTATTTGGTGGAAAATGAAAAGCAAAACTGGAGAGAGACTTTGGTATTTCATTGTAACTGGGTAAACATGATTTGTATACATTTTTTTTCTAAATGGGGACATATGTCTGAAGAACCTATACATATTTTAGACAAAAAAAAATTTAGTTGAAATTAGTAAAAACTAGTAAACTCAGGATTTAATGGACATGAAGATATGAAATAACTTTCTAAATAT